ACATGCGTATATATGATATATTCGAAGATGCTCGCAAAATTGCTGAATCCCAGGTTCGTAAAGAATGTTTCGATTCTTTAATACAAAATCTTTACTAAAACCTCAACATCGTAGAATTCTCGGCTATACTATGTTGACGGAATCTTCAGCTCGAATACGCCATCTAGCAAGCCTCTTTCTCCGGCTACTTCAACTACTTCAGATATCACTGATGATTCATATTTAGAAGATAGGGCTGCTGTTACGGATACAACCCCCGATATGATCAATGAACGAGATGATACGAACTTGGTCGAATCACAATCGTTCGCGTCTAGTAGTCCCAAAGAGATGGTCAATAGTTCTCCTGAAGACGAAGACGCCGAAGGAGAAGTGATTTTGTTCACGGGACGACATCCTTCGGTTGCTGAGAGTGATAATAACAGGTGTGTACAAAAGAGTCTGAATAAAAGTTAATGTGACTGACTCTATTAAGCTATTTTCTTTTATATATTTAGCAGCGGTCAAGTTTCAGAGAAATCTTCTAATCGCCTCCTTACTGTTTCGACAAATCCGACCACTGCCGAGGTTCTATTGAATCAAGTCTTGGCATCTAATCAAAAATCTCCAAAGGGAAATCAAAATGATCCGACAAGTTACTGGAATCACTTTAACACACCTCAACTATTTCCCAACAATAATGAAAACAATGAAACGTCTGCATCTCAAAAATTAGACTTCCTATATGCCACAACTAGGCCCCTGACAAATAACACAAATAGTATTTCAAATTCCATCTCCAATGATTCTTTTGACTCATCTCCGCCATTCTCTCTTTCCACTCCGGTTTCGGGCGTTCCGAATGCTTCATTAGATCCTCTCGTTCCTCCAATGAAGCGTACATCGAGTGAAATTAAACCCACTTCACCTGTAACCTCAACGTCAAGTGCATCTCTGTTTGCTTTCCCAGGTTCTGACGGTGGTGTTTCCAAATTCGGGTTGTTCGGTAATTCGGGTACCAATATTCAGAACTTTTCGAACATACCAAGTTATTTACAAAATAAACCAAATGTTATGTCCGCAACAACAATAAATCCGCCACCGGGATTTTCAACAGAATCGGCTAATTTAGATATGCACCGTGGCTCACCCAATCAATCTCGATTCCAAACTTCCAATGCATTTGGTTTTTCGTCTCTTGATTTTCCATTTCAATGGAATGGGGGATACATGCTAAATGGATCATCGGATGATAATTTAGAAGCAAAGATATTGAATGGTCAATCTATTCATAAAAATCAGGATCTCAGTTCTGGTATAAAGGAACACGAAAAAAATTCCTTATTTTGGACACCAAATGGGGCTTTATCAGATTCGCAAAAAGTTAATGGCTCTCATGATAATTTTTGCCATTTGGCACCTGGTTGGACACCAACATCTATTGGCTAATTTCAGTTACTCGGCATGCAAAATGGAAACCTAGAGTGACAAGCAAAAGCTTGTTAGTTAACAAGGATTGCTCCTTAAAATAACCGTTTTGCAATGAGATCTTACGGATGATACTAATGAACTTGCTTAAGACGGAACATGACAGAATCTTGTCAACACTATGCTCAACCCAACATTCAACCCGCTTCTCCGGAAGTTCATTAGCGAACTTTCCGCTGCTCAGCAAGCGAAATATAATAATCTGAAGATTATCCGAGTCAACCCGAAATGAAATAAGTGCTGATTCCGTCGTTGCTGTCCTTTCTTTGTATCACAACGTAAAGTAATTTTTATTTTCTTACATTCTAACCATACGGATAAACATAAAAGCTTTGCTTTGCCATAACTTTGGTTTTTTTTTTTTTTTTTTTTTTTTTTTTTGTAATAGTAAATTCTTCTTTTCTTACAAGCTCTTTTTTTTTTTTATATATTTTATATTTATCATATTTTTACTATAATTTACGAGTTTCGAGCTCATGAGTTCGAATAGCTTATACGTGTGTCGTTTTGGTTTTTTATTCATTTACAATATCTTAAATAAAGTGGGTTTTAAATAATTTTCGATTGTGTGGTGACGGGGAAAAAATATCGAACAATAATGTTCCAAATGCTCATAATTTAAAAGAAACCATTTGAAATCTCAATGCAATTTATGCAAATTACTGAAACAAAAAATTGAGTCGGGTATAGTATGAAATTTTCAGAAATTGAAATAAAATGTTAAATAAGAACTATAGTAATATATTAAATAATAATTGATAAATCAATATAAATATAAGAATAATTTAATACTTTTTTTTTACATTTAAAGTGGTGCATCTTTATTATTCTCTATTTGTTGATAACTTGGGAAAGTACAGACTAATAATAAAATAATATCTATCTCTCATATTTTTTAATAAGTTTAACAGTTGCTTGTAAAAACATATTAATGTTATTATAATCCATTATATATACAAGTATATTAATAGAATTATTTTCATAAGATGAGATAATATCTAATTACATGAAGATACTGCAGCCAAATATATAAATTTATCTTCAAGTTATAATTAAAATTTGGTATATATATTTTTTAAAAGTCAACTTGATATATGATAAAATAAATAAAATTGAATAACTAATTTCAGACTTTAATCAATAGCTTGATTAAATATTTAAATAATATTTTTTTTTGAATTTATCTTAATACTTATCTTTTATTTATTTGAATAATTATTTTTGAAGGTGACAAAAATACTAGATATAATTTTTTTCAAACCCAACTTTTAAATAATATATACAATATATAATATAAATTTTAAAATTATATCAAAAAATTTTTAATTCATCTTCAAAAATAATTATTCATTTATTAACTTAAAGTTAGTAAAGAAACAATAAATTAGCAATAAAAAAATTTGATTTTTCTTTAATATTTATTTTTTATTTATTTATTAAAATTTAAAATTAAAGAATATTATATATATATATACAGGGTGATTCATAATTTTTTGGAATTTTTTTGATTTTATATTTTATCTTATAATTAAATAAAAAAATTATTAA